GGGTAGAGGCAAATCGATTTTGGAGAATATATGCAGTAGAAGTGTGAGATGTTAATGCAATAAGTCAAAAGGCCAGAAAGAGTTTCTAGTGACGGCACTCCAAGAACCAAGTGGAAGCATTCCCGTCGCCAGCATTTGTGACAGATGTCCGGCGGTACTTTGAACGCGTAGCAGCCCTTTCGGTTTTTCGAATTTTTACCAAAACAAATGCAATTTTTTGTTCTTTTCGTTCTTATCGTGAACGATGGGTCTCAAGCCAGTGAATTATGGGTGAGATAGAATCACGATTTTTCCGAGGATTCCTTTTATTGTTTCGCCATGGAGGGCACAAATTATTAAGACGATGGGGATTAGATGTAGTAAGACTGGCGTATATTAATATTAGCAACTGCCTTGCATTTCATCTGTAGTTCGAGTATGTAGTACGATCATTAGATCGCACGATCAATACCTTCGTGTGTGCTTTGTAAAGATTGTAGTGCTATTCAGAGTTCACCGGCTTTTCTTCTCAGTCTTCCTGTCCTTGGCCTTTCTTTGCTCACATTGACAACAACCATGAATCCAGAGCAACGATTCATGACGTCGGCATCATTCGCTATTCTTGGTACTTTTCCATGCATTCTAGTGTTATAGTAGTCAGGGAATACTACAGAAATTTCAGCTTTGTCTCGATATCTGTTGGCGCAGACTTCTTGGACGATGCTAATAATGGGGTACATCTTGGTGTCGGTGGCTAACCTCACGTATTATTATTCATTCAAGTGAGATTGGATTTCTTGTTCATCTATGTTCATTTCCTTATTGATTTCTGTGGGGATACTAACCAGTTTGTATAAGCGAGCAGGTACGGTAGGTGTCAAACTTTGCGAACAACCGCTAGCAATGCGAATTCTGACACTTTTCAACGGGGAATCAATTCCATACAAACAGCCCTTTTTTCATTTCATTCAGGTCACAGATTCGCCTCTGGTCTACAGAGATATCCGTTGCGGCAGGGATATTTCTGTTTATCATGTTTTGGACTTGCTTTGCTGATTTACTAATGTCAATACCCTCTTTGGTACTGCTACTGACTGCCGTTCTGGGAACGGCATGTGTGACCGTTGTTGCTGCTGGCTCAGTTTGTCAGCACGGCCTCGTCAGTGACGACGACTCATATCAGGTATTTCATATTTCGAACTAGTTCGGCGGGTTTTTTGAATAAGGTTTCTATTATACAAGTTGGCCGCAACCGGACCTGTCGAAATTGTATACTTGCCAGTAAATGTTTTGAATTTCCCATGGAACTTTGAAAGGAGACCTAGGTACATCGATAGAGTCTTGGACGCTGATTACAAATATGGACACTAAAACTGCTACGTGAACTTTGTAAGAAAGTTGTGAGCCTTAAAAGTTGCAAAAGAACGCTTGATGAGGTGCAACCTATGTGGAAACACGGTTGCTTTTTGCCTGGAACTTGTTCTATAAGGGTAAATGGGTGCCCTGATTACGAATATGAGACTCGTTTTTGGCGCAGAGCCACGGCGACTGTGATTCCACCAGGTAAGCTCGCCTCAGTAACGTTTTTTGCCAACTTTGAAGTAACTTTCTTAGAAAGTTCACGTAGCAGTTCAGTGTCCATATTTACAATCAGCGTTCAAACTGCTATCGATTAATTTAGGTCCCCTTCCAAAGTTCCATAGGAACTTCAAAGCATTTCCTGGTTAGCATCTTTCGTGACATCGCGAATCATGAAAGAGCATAGGGAAGTATAATCGGTCTATTCGATACAATACAAATGTGGCAATGATTCCGCAATTACGATCGGCCTTGCTGCAAAAAATAAAGTGGGGTTATACATTTCAGAATAGGGGATACTACCCGCTTTCTTGACACCAGCAGCTTTTTTTACACATTTGTAAACGTCTATTTTAGGCATCCTATATTCGCCTTATTGGAACTATAGCGCAAATAGCTAGCAGTTCATTGTTTGTGATGAATATGTTTGGCGAAAGAACAGAGAACATTCAAGTGTTATCGAGAATGCTGTTCTATGCCGCACAAGCACTTCTGTTCTTAGCCAACGAAAGAACGTTTTAAATTTTATAGTTCATCACATGTAATTGTTATGTTTGCATTTGTTAGCGGGGTATATACGAGTCAGTGCTGACACTCTTTGAAGTGTGTATTAGACGAAAAAGATTTACTGTGATGGTTAGTAAGCAGAATGTTGGAAGTGCGTTGAGGGCAAGCGTGTCAATTCGGTTAACGCGTTACACCATAATTCTGTACAGTTTCAGCGATGTGAACTTCAAGACATTAGAAAATTTACAGTCGATATCCGAAAGTTGGGGTGGGTGTGTCACCGGAAGTGACGTGCACTTGATAGAAGTGCGTGGATAAGCTGTTGCCAGCATGCTTTGCTGATAGCCAGCGATGTATGTTGGAAGCAGCTTATCCACATAGTTTCTATCAAGTGCACGTCACTTCCGGTGACACGCCCACCCCAACTCACCGATATCGAGTATATTTGATACAATTTCACATCGACTATGCCAACTTATCTTTGCGGACGCTTCCCCTTCCTTCTTTGAGGTGGGGGATAAAGGTCGAGTCACAACCCTCCATTAAATTGGCGGGGTGCTGTAGCTACGGTATGCCCGGGAACTTGCGCTGCTTCGACTTTCGGAAAAGGTAGAAACACAGTCAGTAGCGCTTCCCGTGACCCAACCCTTTTTTCCTTTCCCAATGGAAACGGGAATCATAACATTGGTGAAGGGACGCGGACCCCACAAGAAGGATAACATGCAGGCCTTGTATAGCTATTGATGATTACATATTTCTGAAGTAGTGCTTATCGGTGGCCTTTACTCGACACGGGGTTTACATCTTATTGTTAGCTGTGATAATTCAGGATAACGGTTGCTTGCACGGATTTGTGCGCGGGCTATTCGGGGGGGGGGTATTCCACGACAAGAAATTCAACTCCCAATTACAAGTAGAGGTTAGAGGTGGTCAGTGATGCAGAGATGCAGAAAACAAGGAAGGCGGCATAGAATCCAAGAACTTGAACCACTTTTTGATCGTTTCCGCATTGGGGCGAGTCTTATTGAACCTGATGTCGCCATTCAAACGCTGTGCTCTGCGTCTCTGCTAAACGGCTAGTAGGCGCGGCTCGAGTCCGACGGCCAGGGTGGTCAGTCGTTGATCGTTATGTCGCGAGTGCACGCTCTGCTAGGCCGCTTGAGGCACCAACCTTCGCGCTGGCCAAACGCATGGGTCCCGCTCTTTTAGAGTTCCCTGCCTTCACCACTGAGTAATGTATTTTCCAATTATTCTACCTCCGACCTTATCGTTCTTAAGTAATGAAATGGAGCCCCGGTAGCGTAACTGGTAGCACACTTGTCCGGTAAGCGAGAAGTGCGGGTTTGCGTCCCGTCTGGGTCGAAAGTTTTGTTTACAACCCAGCATTTTTGTAAAACTTCCTTAAATAGTCTATGTCTCCTTGTCACTGTGCAAACACAAGAAGTATAATAATTGTTCAGAATCTGTGAGCCAAGGAAATGAAGGCAAGTCCAGAGGTATGGAGGGGGCGCGACTACATAATGGTGTGGCAAAATGGGACTAGCGAGTGTCCTTCAGCAGCCCCACCGAATCGTAAATCTGGCGGGCGAGGCACAATTGACCGCCGGCCAACAAAAAATCAAGTCGTAGTGGTCCATAGATTATTTTGTTCTTGTCCGATCGCCGGAACCTCGTCCAGAATGGGCGGAGCGCTGATCTCCTCACCATCCCTTTGATGTCGCTCTCACGTTCTTGCTTCGTGAAACCCATTAGATGTGCTTTCTTTTGGGCATTCTTGTAATAATACGGTCAGTTTTGGTTTGTTCGAACTAACCTAGATGATTTATTTGGGCATTGACTGCTTTTCAAAAGCATTGTTATCACGAGCTTGTCACAGTTTTCTAGATTGTTTACATTTACTGATAGATGCCATAAAGAATGTTGCTTCGTAATGTGTGCCACACAATCTTATTGCGAAGCAAGTTATGAGAAGCGGAAGGCCCCTTTTCACAGACCCGGACTCAACAAGAAGCCCTGGAGCCGATGGGAACGAAGTCGGGAATCAGGAGTGGACGTATAACTTGGCTACGGATCAGGGTTAACCGTTCGCCGCACTATTCGAACGAGGATCGCATTTTAGGCAAAGTTGAACTACCTCTGGAAAAAGTGTGAAACAGTACGTAACGGCGTTTTTCCCATTAGGGGAAATTAATCCCGTAATTAGACCTGAACCAAACGAGATTGGTGAACATTTTGCTGCCCCCCCCCCACCCTTTCCCCCCCCCCACTGACGGTTTACCACAGAAAAAAAGTGGGAAGCGGGAGAATTGAATGTTTTGACTGTCTCAGAATGCACGTTACTATGAAAACAGCCATGATGGTGAGGGTAGTGGCAGTAGATAGACCCAGGACTGATAGGGGTGGTGGGGGTCGCATTGAGATCCCTTTGAAGAAGGTGTCAAGAATCTTGGAAAATCGCGAGTGCGACGGTTGACCTTGCTATGGAGAGAGAGGGGGATGGAAAGGCTCCCACTCAAAAGTAACGGGTATCGTTCCGGCATAGCGCTTGTTAATCACACCGGTGTACGTCAAAGCGGTGGGTCCCACCGTGTGGTCCCTATTGACATATAGCATTAGACGTGCAATTGAACGTACACGTTCGCATCACATGGTATTTGAGACGCTATTGTACCGTGGATCTGTTAGAGTTTGCCTACTGGAGCTGGTAATGTTCTGCGTAAGGTCCCTGTTCTGTATTTTGGCGCAGCTAGAGGCAGTTAGAAACGGAAGGGCGGGGCGGTTTCGATGACGTCATCGGCGTCATTGGTGGCTAGGCGTCAAGGTGTGTCCCCACCAAACTCCCGCGGCTGAGGCGTCTGCACCACCAAAGACATTCAGTGGCGTCATAAAAATCGCACCTCCATCTCGCCATCGTAATTTTTGTCTTCAAGCAAAGCACATAGCAAGAGAATGGGATGTAAGGTGGACAGTTGTTCTTCTTTTGAAAGATTTGGATGTCTGTCAAGTTCTACTTGACTTCCACCCGTTTTTGATCAAAGCCTACTTTGCAGGTAATCTTTATTTTTCTTTTTTTTTAAGTCCCCCCACCATTGTACCAGAGCGGGAGTGTACAGCAAGAGGAGTCACTAAAAAGCGGACGAACGCCATTCTGCTCAAAACGAGTCGTATCATACCCTAAGCATGTTGTTACTTCAGTTCCGTAAACATTCACTAACTTATACCCGATTGCGCGCTTCAACTATATGTAACGACCGAATCGGATTCAACTATCTGCGATTTTGAATCAAAGTGGAATGTGTGATGCATCCCAAAAGGGGAGCGAAACATTCAAAACCACGTAAAGGCAAGAATCAGGATTGAACTGATGGGTGGATTCCACTCAAATGTGAAAGTAGGGTGAGAGGTGGACCGCCAATGGAGAAAAAAGGAAAGAAAATCCTGACATGCACAGGAAATACGAGCATTTTGCTCAATGCTGTGGAGAAGTTCAAAAAAGACAGGGGAGATGAGAGAGATAATGTGAGCGCAGAGGTGGTAGAGAATTCCGAGAAGAGAGAGCATAGCAGATCAACGCAGCTACGCAGACAAGACATCGATCGGTGGGCGGACCATGTTATGTTTGGTGGAGTCTGTTAAAAGTCCATGGCGCCTAGGGTCCTAGTGACGCGTTTCGATGTAGAAAGGTGGCGCTAACTTTGCACTTGCGTACCCAGCACTTCTAGCCATGGTAAGGGCTTCTTAGGTGGGTCTGAGCCCGAACTTTGCCTTACGTGGTGGAAGCTTTTATTAGGCTGCCTTGGACCAGTCCCTCGCCTGATCGCTCGAAATCGAAGTCACTTCTGCTCGAATAACGCGCTCAGTAGCCCCAGCAGGCTATTAACTTGTCCATGTAGGACGGATGGAGACTTGGTCTGGATTCGATGTTTGAACAGGAAAGTTCTGTATATCGGAACACTGTGCTATCAAGTTCTGTTCACGAAGGTTGCCTTCTCAATTTCATCCCGTACCATTACCTAATGTGCTCTGGAATGATTATCGATTTTGCGCGCGTTTAATCGATAGCTGTTGTTTACATGGGTGCCATTAAGATTATCCTCATCTATCCGACACTAACACTGGAAAGTAGCGATAATTAAAGGGAGTAAGCCTCATTTACTAACACACTTGCTTGAACAGCAGTCGGCATCATGAATGACGGCATCATTAATGACGTAGGATCGGCTCGATTACATGGCAGTGCTACGGGCGGTACAACTTTCCTTGTGTATGTGGAGACTGATGGTTTCAGACAGGTCAGTCACTGGCAGACGTCTTCCTGTCAACCCGATAATTCAAAAAACACGAGCGGAAAAATGTGGCGAGCTGCCCTGTCAGCGTCCCTGGAGCGCCAACGCCCACCTACCTGCGCAACTATACCTGCGTAGTTTTAGCATACATCGTCGATGATGTTCGGTTTGCCATTAATAACGCTTTCATTCTTGTCATTAACGTCTTCAATGCAACCACGGGCCCGATTCGCTACAGCGGCCTCATTCGCCATTTTAGGTATGGTTTACTGTAGTATCATTATGTGGGAATCCTCAGTTCCTCCCCCTCTTTTCAGCGATGTCTCGATACTTACTCGTTCAGAAAATCCTCATGGGAAGCCATGGTTATTGGCTATACACTGGTTACGTTAGGCAACTGCATGTATCTTTACTCGTTCTAGTGAGTTCTTGGTGTGCTCAAAAATCGCTATAAAATGTCACAATGGGTCGCTTGAAAAAAGGATAGATATCGATTGCTTAGAACAAAAAGACGGGCTGCTTTTTGGCATTTCTGCTGGTTTCTTCTTCACCAGATGCAACAGGAGTGATCGGTAATTGAAAGCAGCGTTCAGAGTTGACGATCGCACATGCGAATAGGCGACTAAGGCAATTAGTTTGTAAGGAAGAAGATATGTATCGATTAGGCGAGTAGGCGATCGCTCAATGTCGGGTCGGAACAGGGAAATCAAACAGCGTATCCTCTTATCGTCCTACTCCGCCAAAACAGCCGCTCCACCACTTACATCGCCTAATCGCCTAATCGAATGCGTACACTTTCTTAGAAGGACAGATTCAAACTTTCAGTCGAGCGATTCGCCTAGCGTCTGCGGTCGCGTCGCGTATACCGAATCGAGCCGTTTACTATACGCGACACGATCGCAACACAAACGAATCGTTCCTCGCAAAGTCTGACATCGGCCTAAATCATCACCTAGTCCGCCTGATCGCAATTTGAATCGCTAAGTCTGAACGATGCCTAATACCACTGTACGCACAATTGTTGTTTCAGCCACCTAATTGAAGAATGGTCAATAGCATTATCTATGTTTGGAACAATGTTTCTATTGTACCCTGTCATATATCTTTTTTGCCGAACTATCCGCCTCGATTCCGTTTCTGGTGTTTCTGCACGCATGCTCATTTGGCTCAGCATGCCTTCTTGTCGTCGCATCCGGTTCCGTTTGCATGAATCCCCAACGCAAACCGACAATGAGTTTTATCAGGTAATGCAAAAAGATACGGTAGTAAGAAAGTTGTGATGGTAAATCCGTATCGACCGCAGTTGTATAATAAACTTTGTTTGGAGACAGACGGGTGGCAAAGGATCGTCTACTTGCAGTCCGACGACGGCCGCGTTGGTCTGCTAAGGCAGAGACGTAGATGGTTCAGTGGACGTGTCGCAACGCGTAGCGCAGCAATTTAGCGTCACCTAAATTGAATGTACGATAGTACATGGTTTACGGACTACTTGATTTTTCCTCAATGGTCCTGCCGCGACGGCTAGAGCACAGACGATTAGAGAACGGGTGAATGCCCTAGGACTAAGCCTTGGAGAGGAGAGGGACCCGCGAGAAGCGCAGAGGCGGTTTAAAGGGCTGAGTTCAAGTAGTCGCGGCCGACCAGGCATAATACGCGCTGTGACTCGTCCGCTGATGCGTCTGCGTCCCTGCTTTCTCGCCGCGAAATGGTTCTACCGTTGGATACCCTCTACGCGCCGCGTGCGGCAAAATGACGTCGGCTCGCCGTCTCATTCGTCAAAGGCAGCATGGGAGAGTTCGAGAGGACGTCGTAGTAATTATATTTGGCGCTGCGACCTGACCACGCCGCAGCCGTGGTCAAGGGTGGGTTGGTCCCGGTTACCCTTTAATCATGGACTTCTCCTGCGGACGCTAATCGTCAGGAGTACAGGCATTGTTGATGGCAGTGACTTTAAAAACTAAGTGAGACCGCTCTTTTTTCAAATGGCTGAGCTCGGCAGGGCTTGAAGAGACTCCAAGATGTATAGCAGTGTTATTTTCTATGAGGTTCAGGCCCCTCCGGGGCTTAGTGTTACTCCTAGAGGAAGGCCATCCCGATATGCTTGCGAATATCTCCCGCGCCCTTTTTCACACGGCTCTCACCTCCCAGATCGTGCCAGTGTCATTGAAATGAAGACAGTTACTGAAAATGTTCCATTCAGGCATCCCTTCTTCGCTTTTTCGGTACTTTTGCAAACGTGGGTAGTAATACAATCTTTCTCGCAAGCTTATTCGGAAGAAGAGTTGAAACCTTACAAGTCATATCAAGGAATAATGTTCTACGTAGCTGAAGGTCTGATGTTCCTCGCCAACGAGAGAACATTCTAACCAATGAAAACCGCCAGCTTTGGACAAATAAATATTTTGAACTTTTTCCAAGACTACACGTGAAAACCATAAGTCGCTCACCAAGAGGCTGTACCCTACTGCTCATTGCAAAAATGGTTACCCGCCCTTTCAGCAGAGCCGAGGAAACTGCATTCTCTGACACTCTACGTCTCCTCTTTTAGAACACTATCATTTGTCCAAGCGATAAAGTCGAGATGTCCTCCTGTAAGGCATAAGATACTGGTCAAACGTTTTCACGCGGAGAGAACATCGAATGTTTGCCCCAAATGAGGGTCGTATATCGTTGTGATCTCACTTTCATGTGCTACGCCAGGCACCACGGGGTCAAGCTGGCGTGGTTTTTGTGCGCGAAAATGAAGTATTGATACGAAATGGAGCGACAGTGAACAAAAAGGATAAGAATCTGTCGAAAACCTTAGAGTGAAGGGCTCGTTTTTTGCTAAAAACATTGAAGGCAGTGAACGTCTTTAGCGTAGTATTAAGGAGTGAATAGACGTAAGCAAACCAGCCCTTTTGGCGCTTCGGCTGGGACCGTATGCTGAATGTTGGGGAGGGGATGGAGTCCCCGACGGTGGACGGACCACTTCAACTCGGTCCCTTAGAACCGCCACAATTTGGTGCTTACCTCAGAACTAAGCCTTAAAGAGAGGACGGGTCCGTCCCCTCTCCAAGGCTTAGTCCTGGGGTGAGCAAACCAGCCCTTCTGGCGGAGCTGCTGGACCAGCTGCACCACTTGCGTCAGTACTCTCCTATCGTACCAACCGAGTTGAAGTAAACCGTCGACCGTTGGGGACCCCATCCCCTCCCCAACATTCAGCATACGGTCCCAGCCGAAACGCCAAAAGGGCTGGTTTGCTTACCTCACGTCTTAGTGCTGAGGAGAGTAGGTGAAAGAGCGCCTGGATGAGAAGGCGCCAGATGCCAGCATGCCACGGACGATAAGTTCGGATGCGGCTGCAGCGGTACTTTTAAGGCCTTTATGCCCTTGCTGCACACTTCAGAGTTAGGAAAACGAGTCATCTGTTTCCTTCATGAGGAGCTCTATTTCATCCACTGGAAGAATTCATCCATCTGAAGTCATTCTGGGTTGTGCCTTTAACATGATTTCCAAGGGTTATTGGTCGCATCTCCAGCTAAGACTAAGAAAGATCTGCGTTCGGGACAAGAATTCTCCCCAAAGAGCAACGATAGCGCTCAAAATACGCAAAATCCTCCCACAAATACCCTCGCCTTCAAATGACCAGAAATTGTGCAATTGCAGAAATTGACGTGGCATTGGCACACGTGGCTAAATTCTCGATGAAAAGGTGACATCACGTGTGCTCAAAGATGTTCTTGAATCGATGCCACGTTCACAAAAATAGAAGGAAGTCCAAGTAGTCTGTAAACCTGCGACGGCCTCCTGTGGCCCCGAGGTTAGGCGAGAGCAGCCGTCGAAGGTTATCTGCTCAAGAAAAAGCTAATCACCTGATTTGGCCATTGTGATTGACTAACTTGGAGCATTCGCGTTTTATGGACGAATACGACGACTCTTGCGACAGTGCCGGTACCGTGACCGGTAGCTGGGTGTGGTTCACTAGGACAGAAAGCGACTTTTTCGCGTTTCGCAGCGCGAAACATTTTTCGTTGCGGGAACCTCGGGTCCACTGATGATCAGCGGTGGACCTGAGGTTCCCGCAGCGAAAAATGTTTCGCGCTGCGAAAGCGAAAAAGTCGCTTTCTGTCCTAGTGAACCACACCCCCGGCAGCTGACAGTAACTATAAGTGGGCGCGAGAAAATCAGATGGCATCTATATCTAACTATCTTTAACTATTCACCTGCTATCTATTACATTCACCTGCCACTTGTCAAGTCTTTATAAGTCCAAAACCGTCCAAACAGTTTGTGCGCCTAACATCTGATTCCCACGAGTCGCTGTACATCACCTTCTACGTATGGGGAATCATAACAACGCGCTGCCCTGTTCACGATATGACCGATTCCATCCACATACGCTTGTTTCGCCCGCCTCTTCCAGCGAACCTCGGGCACCACCACATACTCAGAGCCAGCTGGTTTGCGTCAAAAGGTTCCTCAAGTAACATACATCAGACCTCATATTAAATTCAACAACTCACACACTCCACCCCTAGAGTGCTCCTGAGAGTTTTCCACACACACACCACACAACACACAGGCACCAAAAACAATAAACTTGCCGCGTTTTGTTCGACAGGTGGTGCGGGCTGGCAAGTGTAATGGCTGACCAGTATCCGAACTTTCCTCTAGACGACATATGAATTATTTTTGGGTCTCATCCAGTAAGAGGGGGCATCAGCGATCTAGAGCATTTCAAACCATGGAAAGCACATTATTTTATTGTAGACGTTCAGGACTAAGCCCTAGAAGGGAAGGAGTCCCCGGATCCGTGAGCAATCTTGGCTTTCCCCGGGGGACTTCCTCCCCCTCCTGGGCTTAGTCCTGACCTGCTAACTAGGTGAATTTCACTTCTCGTAGACGTTAATGTCATCTAGTACAAGAATACATACATTACACAAAACACCTGAAGAAATAACATAGGAAAAAAGCTGATAGCAGCTCGTAACTTTAAAGGACTCCTTGAGCCAAATTGGCATTAGAGCAGACCGTGCACCGCAATGCCCCCTCTTACCGGATGAGACCCTATTTTTTTACCAATAGGACACGACGCCCTGTCCCCTTGACATCAGAGACCGGGTAACATCTAAACCTATTTTCGCAGGGCAGTTTGAACAAAGGGAGACGTGCACGCCAGGACGGTATGTTGTGTGTAATCACGTCATGATTAGATGTGCAGGTTAGCATGGTTGCGCCACCGTAACCCTCAATGCTGTTTCATAGATTCAACGCGATTTTTTATTCCCGGTCTACCTCTTTCAAGGACTATATCAGGTTTTTCTTTTATTTTTGAGTGCAGATCAACCTTTTAAGGATGTGGGCGTGTTTGCAATGAATTCTCTTTTCGCCAGTACTTTTTTCGCCAGTTTACAGCCTCGCGTGATTTGATGGGATCAGCTTTATGGAATGAATCTTTACGTTTAGGTATAAATGGCTGAGCAAGCTGTTAGGAAAGCTGGACCTGGACCTGCCGGAAGGTTAGTCACATTGTAATGTTACTTTTTAAACACCTGTGTCCTCCTCCTTATAACTTCCGACAATAGTTCGTTTTATTTTTTCCCGACCTTTACTTTTTTTTTCTTTAATCATATGCGTATATCATTATCGTGCTGGTCTTTTGGTCTATGCGTGAGCGTTGTGCTACACTTCAGCTTTTCCAAACAGGGATACAAAACTACTGTTTTGTTGTCAAATTTCCGCGCTCTTGTTGTACATAGTTAGGTGCTTTGGAGGCTAGTGGGTCCGTTGATGATCGAGTAGAGCGAACTTTTCTCTCGCAGAAAGCGAGCTAAAAAGGGCAGATGCAAACCAGTAGTCGCGCCACCACAACATACGGGATCCCAAAGTTGATTTCAACCCGTTCACATTCCTCTACCGATTTTAAGAAACGGGTTGCTGCCAGGTTTGAAAGCCTGCTTCTTCATATTAGAGAAACGATTTGAGGCAGGCCTCAGATTAATTCTGATAGTCGATGTATAGATTGGCGAATTTTTTTTTGTGAATTTTTGCGAATGTGAGGAATTGACAAGGTCATTACTGACATCTCCCCATTTCCTCTTTTCAACAATTGCGCGCTCTCAGATTTGAGGTGTTTCCCTGTTACTCTCAGGAGATGCCCATGGTTGTTGCATTGTCATTTCGTCCATCATTTGTCAATTTCTGATGAAACTGAGCCTTGAAACAACTTATCGTTATAACATGCAGTGATATAACATTTTCAGGCTCTACGTTAAGGCAGTTTTCACCGGATTCAAACGTGGACTTCGCACCCAGTCCGAGCATACTGCCCTGCTCAAGCTCGATGGAGTGTTCAATAAGGATGACGCCAAATTTTATATAGGAAAGCGTGCTGCTCTATCTCTACAAGGCCCACAACAAGACCACCGTATACGTTTTGCTAGTTGTTTTATTTGAAGTTTTTCTTTTTGTTTTTTTATTCTTGCTTCTTAGCCACTGCTTCTTTTGAAGATTGTTATATTATAACTTGGTCATGCATTGAGCTTTTGTTTTTTCGGTACCTTCTTTTCGTTTTGTGGAGGCTCTTCGGTCTAAGGCTGATGTCAGAGTCCGCGATCCTTTGCGCGATTTTCGCGATTTGCGCGACGGGTCACGGAAATTCACAAGTGCCCCATCCATACTGCAAGGTGTTCTCCAATCCCGCCGTCACTTCTGCTTGATGGTTATGGTTTAATGGAGACTGCTCATGATTCCACTTGTTTCATATCCAGTGTTTCAATTGTTCAAATGGGGCACTTGCAATTTTTGTGATTGGTTTGGTTTGATTCCTGAAAAAAAAGGAACGATTCAAGAGCATTTCAATGAACTAATAGACATTGAACATGAAACAAGTAGAACCACAAACATTCGTCTTCCAATCTTTACTGCCAAGCAGAATTCGCAGCAGGATTAAACAACACCTCGCAGTATTCATCGGGCACTTCCAACTCCTGTGATCCATCGCAGGTTTCGCGAAAATCGCGCAAAGGATCGCGGACTCCGACACCAGCCTAAGAAGATTATTACTGTTGTTACGTATAATTGCAACCTTTTGGTCGAGCTTGCCCCAGTGTCTTTGAAACCTGTGATCTCTTATATTCCCAGAGCAACTTTAGGACAATACGCTCTCCTTTTGAGCTTTTCGCTTTTGGACATGCTTGGATAGACTTTCTTGACTTATCCTGAATGTCTCACCTATATTCATCATCGTCGAGGTGGCGATCCTAGTTTATACATTTTGTTTGAGGAAGCTTGAGCTGCATTCTTTGTAGCGTTACTTTTCCCGTGATTTTCTTGTTTCTCCCTTGTTGTCGGGACAAATATCTTCCGAATTGGAGCACGAATTTCTTTTCGGAATGCGGTTTTCCGAGCTCTCTATGCCATTCGTCTCATATTTTTGTCATCTCTTCATTGTCCTTAGCTTAACATTCTATAAGTGAAGCACAGAGTTCTTTACTAATGAGGCCGCAATAGTAGCATCCGCACTCAATATAGTTGTCAATTTATTTCGCATTGCAACAAAGAAAGAAACGGAAACAATATCGGCGAAAACAGATATGTAGGAGTATTGAGAGGTCATTTTTTGGAACTGGTGCAAGCTCCGGCATTACGTTGTTAACGCGGAGACAGCTACTACAGAATTTCGTATTTTTGGTTCCATTAGCTTCGGGCTTACTTAGTTCAGAATGGCATGTTTTTCTCGTTAGCAGGTTTTCTACGTAATTTTTTCAATTTTTCGATTTTT